ATTATAATATACTTTGAATTGTCACCTGCCACCTGAATTTTTAGACATTTCCACCATAAATTGGTGCAGAAAAGGCAGAAATTGGAGGAGAAATTTTCACCAGAATGCAGGAAATGATGTGTTTAATGCTCAAAATCTTCTGGGGGAGGACCCCATATCCCCCACTTATTAAGTGCCCCGTCCAAGAAAACAGACACAGTTTCTGGGAGGAACATTACACAACACAACGTTACATGTACTAGTGCTGACATGGTGAACATGAGACAGATAGCAGAGATGAGGTCTATAGCAAAACAGAGTCAGAACCAGCACAGCACAAAGCACCAGTTTATGGTGAGCATGATGATCATACGGCTTATTATTATATCTACTCAAGGGCTCAGCTGAGGTGATTACTTTACTTTAGAAGAGTTAGAGGGGGGTTTCTAGTTTTGAAAATGTATTGGCTCATAAAGTTATACACTCTACTTGCATAAAATTCTTAAGAATGCAGGAATAAAGTTCTCTAAAGACACAGGGCCCCAACAAATACTTTGCCTGGAGAGTGGACTGACCAGGGCCACTTTTTTTCCCTCGTGTCTGACCATCCTTGACCTTAAAAAGTCCTGTATGTGTACATACATGTCCATAAACAATTTAAAAGTAACAGTGGTCAAAATGTTCACACAGAGACGAGCATCCTGCAGTATTTTAAGAGGAAGAGGACAGAGGTCACAGAAGGAGGAGCAGAAAAAACTGAGCAGGACGAGCTTGGAAGTTGTATGGATAGCTAGTAGACATACTGTATAGTTTGTTCTAAAATTCACAGTTTCTGCCTTTTAAAAGATGTGTTTTTACTTTTTAGCAATGATAATAAAACTGTTTTTTGTTTGTTTAGCAACCACCTCCCAGCAAACACCCAAGAAAGTCTCCATTGGAGGAGCTTTTTGCAAATGAGGATGCACAAAAGATGTCATTACAGCAGAGGAGGACTATGTCCATCCAGGACCAGGCAGAGAAGGAGATGGAGATATATATATATATATATATATATATATATATATATATATATATATGTGTATGTATGTATAAGGAGACACCACCAACCTTTACAGCCGATGACCCTGCTGCCTGGTGGTGGAACCTGCGCAAGACTTATTGTCAGACATGGCATTTTCGTATTTATGTCTCCAGGCCTCCTCTACACCTAGTGAAGGGGTGTTCACAACGGCCGACGACACACTCTATGCTGAACGTTCGCGCATACTGCCAGAGAAGGCAGATATGCTCATATTTCTAAACAAGAACTGTTTCTAAAGTAGTTAGTTTTAAACATGTTAATCCAGACCAGGGTGTTGTGTTATTTGGTTTGGTTGCAGTTATGAAAGTGCAACATCATGCAGAGACGTTATACTTTTCTCATCAACACCCACATGGGCTGCAGCTCCAATAACTGTAAATCACCACTGAATCAAAATTTTCCATGAAATAACCATGTGACTCATTTTGACTTCAACCCTCAAAGAATTGGAATCAAGAATCGATAAGAACCGGAATCAAAAGTAGGAATCGGAATCAAAATTGTTCAAATCAAAACGATGCCCAACCCTATTTACAAGACCTTTCCCCGTTTACATGCTCCATACTTCAACGAACTCCTAGAGCTTTAACCCGATCAACATCAAATATGGGCAGGCCAATCTTAAGAGCCTTGCGATGTTAAATTGAGAAACTTTTTTGATTTCTTCAATATCCAGTCATAGTGATAGCGCCACGTACTGGCATCCGGAAAGGACGTTTCTATGAAACAGAAAGCTGTTTTTTGAGAACTATACCCTAAACCCAACCGGAAGTCAGCTACTTCAATAAGTAACTGACACGTCAACCAAAACTTTGTGCAATATTTTTGACACATCACCTGTGTGATTTTTGCATTGTTAAACACAGGGTGAAAAGAAGAGCTGCAGCAATGTGCAGTATGACAAAAAAAATTAAACCATGTAAACCTGTTCTGGTAGAACCCCTAAATAGGATTTTGAACCTGAAAATTAGCATAATGCCACCTCTTTAATATAACCAACCTGACGGAGGATAACCAGCAAAGTATCTCAATATTACAGACTTTTCTTTTGTGCTGCTGTTACATATAGCCTACAGCAGTGAGGAAGCCTGCAGCAGGGAGGGTAGTAACTTGTTAAAAGTAACTCAAATTCGCAAAATAAATAAATTATATTAAATAAGTCATTGACACCTCTTCACGTTCCTTTTTTAAAACTGTAGCCTACTTTCACTCTTTCTTCCAGTATTTTCTTTGGGCCAGTAATCTATTTTAATTTCGCTATATCTTCCATTCATACCTTCATAACTTCACCAGTCTGTCATCTGCATTTTTTCATTAACCGAAACTGAGCTGTCATCCAGGTTGTGCGTGCAGCTACGCGGAAGAGCCCTAGTATTGGGTGTTTGTCACAGTCACAGAGCTGGGCGGATGCAAACATTTACAAAATCAAGCAAATCCCTTTTCAGTTTAAGGCTTTATTGTTCTACTAATACAACTGAAATCCAGTGAGCTCGGAACCATGGCACTGGTGGACGCATTAAAAGTCTTTTAGTATTTAGTCTCTGCAGAGCAAATGAAGACTACACATTGTAACATCTATGTCTGATTATCACTGGATTGATTCTGATGTATTACCAGTATTCTGCTGTTGAGAAGAGCATCCCTTTCTTCTGATGGACATGAGCCTGTTTCTTTCACTTTGGTTACTATTTGTTTTATAGTGATGTCCAACAGTGAGTCCATAAACAGAATGTCGCCGCTTAAAGTAATCTTGGCTTTCACTCAGCAGCTAACAGCTATTAATTCTATTTATTTAAAACAGTCCTGTTGGGCTTTAAGTGTGACGCACATTTTCCTCTAAATGTAGGTTTACCTGCTTCAACAACGAGCTGCGTGATGATACGTAACAACATCGTTTTGTGGCAGAACGTTCACCCGTTCATTCATAAATTCAAGGTCTATGTTGCGAAGCACTGAACTGACGTTTGGGGCTTCCGTGGCCTGTGAATGGGATCTGACATCACCTACCAAACAACAATACAGCTGGATGGCGGTCACTCTGTGCAAGTTTGAAATGAACTAATGTGAATCACTAAAGGAGATGTGAAATGCCAGCAAACTCAAAGTACACTCTTTCGGTGTTTTCGTAAGCCTGCAGCTGAATCTCCTGCCGCTCCGGGCGACACTGTGGCTGCAGCAGATGACACGAACGTTAAGGTTACTGAAACTACAGAAACGAGCCAGATGAGTGAAAGTGTCATATGTTATTATTAACGGAAGTTGCATCTGTTACTAGTTAACTTAACTAACGGTAATGTGGTGGATCAATGAATGTGGGATACTGTGTGTGTGTGTGTGTGTACAGTAGTTGAAGTAGCAGTTCCTGGATGCTTGCTCATGCATTTCAGCTGATACGGAAGCTGCATAAGTTTGACAATGGTTTTGGAAAGTAAGTGTGCTTGACATGATGTGGACCACTGTTTGTATCTTTACTGTTCATAATATTCTGTAATGAATGAGTGTTGGTGACAGAACTGCACATATGCATATACTGATACTGAGCCTCAACTTTCTACTACTGTTACTAATAGTTGCAACTTAAATGTGCATTGAAAATTGCCAGCTGATAAAACTTGCTCCCGGGACCAGATTCATATAACATCAAAGGCTTCATGCAGCTCCTAACTGGAGCTGAGTTAGATGGTGATTAACACTAAACATTAGAAAATCAGTCTATTCCCCCCACCTGCATCAGTGTCATTTACACTGGGGACACTTTTTCTGTTTTTTCTCCCAAATGTTCTGAAAAATAGCTTGTAGCAAGAAATGTTAAATAACAAATATGGGTACTATGACAAAGTTTTTTTTGGCACAATACGATTGCAATGCAATGTAAATATAGAAAAACAGATCTGCATTATCCCAAAAAATGACAAAGCTAAAAAAAAACTATTCACTGAATACTGCATTATATTCCATTATACTTTTATTTAAGTGTTACCTGCCACCTGAATTTTGTGTTCCCCTTTATATAAATAAAGACATTTCCACCATAAATTGCAGAAAATGTCTCCAGAATGGAGGAAATTAAGTGTTTAATGCTGAAAGTCTTCTGGGGGAGAAACCCCCAATCCTATATTTTCATCAATAAATATTTCTTTAAATAGCATTAAAATATCTTCTAGTCTTGCTCTCGTGAGCCCAATACTCTGGATTGTCACGTTTTGTCACAACACTAATCTGAGCCCTAAACTGTTCCCCACCACTGTTCAACACAAAGTGACGCCGTTGCTCACCTGTAACCGTCATTGGCTGTTTAAGTCTTTGCAGTGTTGATAACACACAGCCTAAGCAGTCCATCACAGTGCACTCACTACAAACACCTAGCCTACGCCACTGCGAACACCCCTAGCATTTCAGCGTCCCACTTCCAGGTTCAAAGTCGCTCCTACGCCCCTGTAACATTATGTCTTAGAACCTAAACGATAGCGGCATAATGCTGAGTGCACCGTGATGGGCTCACGTACCTGTAACAGACTCTGTAACAGGTTAAGTTCGGTCGCTAGCCTACATACCCGCCAGCAAGTCCCTGTTGTGCCGGTGGAGGAGGCGGACCCCGGGGAAGCGGCTGCTGACGGAGCCCTCCGCCGCCTTCACTCTCTCCGCTCGGTACCTGGCGACTTGCAGCTCCAACAGTTTGATTTTCCTCCGCAGGAACTCGTTTTCCTTCTGGCTCCTGGACATTTCCAGATGAACCACCGCGTATCCGTCGTCCACAACTTTACAAATTTCTGCGACGGCCGCGTTAGCCAGCACCTCCATGATGGAGGCAATCTGAGAGTGGAAGTCCATGGCGGTCGACATTGTGACGGCGAGCTTAAACACTCGCCTTAATTCCTTCGTCCTAAAACAACGCTGACGATTGAAAGCGCTGCGCTGCTAAATTAAATTCATAACTGTGTAATTGTATTTTTTTAAATGAACGCAGAAAACTTGTACCCCGGTCTTTGCTGGTATGATGGCTACACGGAAGCTGTAATTTTGGACAGTATTCTTCCATTAGAAACGGTGAGTATAGTACAACAGCGCCCCCTGTGTTCAGGAGCGGACCTGCCACCCAGGACAGTCCACAGAGTAGATGGGGTGTACTGGGGTAACTTCATGTGGAGATGTGGAGATTAGCAACAGTCAGTTGAAAAGTAAAATAAAGTGTGACTGCAGCAAAGAGCGATGGCTCTTACAGGAATATTAAATTCAGTTTTATAGTCATTTTTATCAACACAAATTAATAGTTGTTTAAATATGACTTAAGTTCATAGGTTCACCACAATTATCTTGCCACAAAGTATTGTAGTTGTTGTCTGAGGCAGAGGATGTCTTTTTCTTAGATATTCAGCTGCATCAAGCCCACAGATCTACATATTAGCCTAATATTAGTAAACACACAGCATTAGCTGTAGTAAGAGATGCACCGATTGCATTTTTCCTGGCTGATTCCAATTACTGATTTTTTTTTTAAAGGTTTGACCTGCCCATTCTGATTTTATTTATTTTCCTTAAGTACAAGTAAAGTTACTGGTATAAAAATCTACTCAAGTAAAAGTAAAAAGTAGCTAATTTAAATTTTACTCAGAGTAAAAGTTACTTTTTTAACCTCCTAAAATAAGTTATTTATATTGATTTAATATCTTATACTTCTTATAGGCTACTTATTTAATTAAATTACACTCTTTTGCCCCCGCGACCCTGTACGCAGGATAAGCGGTTGACAATGGATGGACTCTTGCGATTTGATAAGGGAACAAAGCCATATTGTGCTATCAATTTTAGTTTGTTTGACAGATACTTTGCCAAATCAGTGACATTTCTTTTATTCATTTACCTGACACTTTTATCCAAAGCAACTTACAATTGCTACATATGTCAGAGGTCGCACACCTCTGGAGCACCTAGGCATAAGTGTCTTGCTCAGGGACACATTGGTGGATGTGTCGCAGGTCTCTCACGCCATAGGCATGTGTCTTCAGCTTATTAACTACCGTAAGTCAACACACCCCACAGACTCTCAAACCCAGTGTAACCTTAACGTAATAAAACTGTAATGTTATGTGATCAACAACAAACCTGTGACCTGTTTTTCACTTACAGAGCACAACCATGTAGCATAATGTGCAATGCGTCTACAACTAATCACAGCTTATAAACTACTGCAAGTCAACACATCTACCAGACTCTCAAACCCAGTGTAACGTTATGACTAAATAAAACTGTAAGGTTACACGATCAATAATAAACCTGTAACCTATTTGCAGCCAGCGTTAATAGTTAACGTGATGGCAGCCAGCGGTACATAAATGATTGCGTTAATCGACCACCACAAGTTTGGCAAGTAAACAAACGCTCCTTCATCTTATCATAAAGAACAACAGTCAGAGTTAACCTTCGTAGGTCTTAAGCAAGAAGCAAGCTAACGTTAGATGGCCAGTGCTGAGCTAAACATGTTTATTAACCTCAGGTTACTAACCTATTTTGTGTTCAGCACTTTTTTGTTTGGGCATTGTTGTATGAAGTTTTAAAGCCAAAGTTTATGATATGCCACCGCAGCTGCTGCTGTTTGTTGTCCTCTCTCACATGTGGCCACACACAGCTGATACTACGAGTTATGTAGGCAGGTTGTAGGTAACACAGGGAGGGGAATAAGAGCGAGCTCATTAGACGTTTGTAATAAACATTGTTTACGAGTTGCACACCTCGAGTCCGAGTCAAATCTGAAGTCTTTTGAGGATGAGTCTCAAGTCGAGTCTGAAGTCACTGTATATGTGTCTTAAGTCGGACTCGAGTCTGAGTCTTTAACTCGAGTCCCCTCTCTGGCATACACTGATGTCTTTTTGGCTATTTAGAGAAAAGCATCTTACCGAACTATAAAAACTTATTATTAACCACCAATGGAATGCTACAAGTAGGCTATTTTATTTTTATTTAACTTGAAGATACTAGTTGACCCACATACCTCACTTGTCTGCTAAACTGTTCACATTTTCAGGTCGTAACTTCATGCCATGTTTTTGGAGTGCTCTCAGGACTTTCTGAACGACATTAACATGCTCGTCGAAGGTTTTTTAATAGCAAAAGATGTTGTCCAAATAGGGAATACAGCATATGTCTCTGAGTGAGGTCAACATCTCCTCCATACTCCTTTGGAAAGCTGCTGGGGTGTTGGAGAGGCCAAAAGGTATTCTTACCTACTCATACAACCCCCATGGAGTTACAAATGCTGTGAGATGTCTTGAGCCTTCCGCCATAAACCCTTGATGATACGCATTTCCTTGGTCAAGAATGCTGAACCAAGAGTGTCCGGTCATGCCATGTCAGTCAAATCTTGGATCCAAGGGAGTGGATGTCGGTCAGGGATGGTTTTCTGGTAAACGATAGTCAATGCATAGACGTAATGACCCATCCTTTTTGCGGACCCACACAACAAAAGCTGGATAAGGATACTTCTATTTAACAATCCGTCCTTTTGCTAAAAGCTTTTGGATGTATTCCTTTACTTCAACAGCTGTGTGACTTTCTACATAGCAATAGTTTATTTGAGGATTTTCAGTCAGGATTTAGAGCTCATCATAGCACAGAGACAGCACTGGTGAAAATTACTAACGACCTCCTTATTGCATCAGACAAAGGACTTGTCTCTGTACTGGTTTTATTAGATCTTAGTGCTGCATTTGACACCATTGACAATCAGATCCTATTACAGAGACTGGAACATTTCATTGGCATTAAAGGAGCCGCTCTAAGCTGGTTTAAGTCCTATTTATCAGATCGATTTCAGTTTGTACATGAGTCCTCCGTGTGCGCCAAAGTTAGTAATGGAGTTGCACAAGCGACACTCCATAAACTTCCATTGTTATGCAGATGATACTCAGTTATATCTATCGATCAAGCCAGATGAAACTCATCAGTTAGCTAAACTTCAAATGTGCCCTCAGGATGTTAAAACCTGGATGACCTGTAATTTTCTAATGTTAAACTCAGATAAAACTGAAGTTGTTGTTCTGGGGCCTAAGCACCTCCGTGACGCATTATCTAAAGATATAGTTTCCCTTGATGGCATCGCCCTGGCCTCCAGCACCACTGTGAGGAATCTTGGAGTTATCTTTGATCAGGACATGTCGTTTAAGTCTCACATTAAGCAAATTTCAAGGACCGCCTTTTTTCACCTACGTAATATTGCAAGGAACATCCTGTCTAAAAATGATGCAGAAAAACTAGTCCATGCATTTGTTACTTCTAGGCTGTATTACTGCAATTCTTTATTATCAGGCTGCTCGAAAAAGTCCATTAAGACTCTTCAGCTGATTCAGAATGCTGCAGCTCGTGTTCTGACCGGAACCAGGAAAAGAGATCACATTTCTCCCGTCTTAGCTTCTTTGCATTGGCTTCCAGTTAACTCCAGAATAGAATTTAAAATCATTCTTCTTACCTACAAAGCTCTTAATGGTCAGGCACCATCTTATCTTAAAGAGCTCATAGTACCTTACTACCCCACCAGAGCACTGCGCTCCCAGAATGCAGGGTTACTTGTGGTTCCTAGAATCTCCAAAAATAGAATGGGAGCCAGAGCGTTCAGCTATCAAGCTCCTCTCCTGTGGAACCAGGTTCCAGTTTGGGTTCAGGAGGCAGACACCATCTCCACATTTAAGAGTAGGCTTAAGACTTTCCTCTTTGATAAAGCTTATAGTTAGGGCTGGCTCAGGTGAGTCCTGAACCATCCCTTAGTTATGCTGCTATTGGCCTAGACTGCCGGGGGATTTCCTATGATGCACTGAGCCCCTCTCTCCTCTACTTTCTCTCCCTCTGTATGCAACCTGATTTGGCGCTATATAAATAAAATTGAACTGAATTGAATTGAACTTCTGCAAACAGACACCTTTCATCTCTTCTGGACCTGTACTCCTCCAGGACTCTGAGGCGAGGAGGAAAGATTGCAGCAGACCTTCCACCCCGGACACAAACTGTTTCAGACTCTCCCCTCTGGCAGGAGGCTGCGGTCCATCAGGACCAAAACCTCTCACCACAGAAACACCTTCTTTCTGATTGCAGTGGGCTTCCTCATCAAGGCCCGGGTACCCACTGTCACTGACTCTCATGCCCCACTCCCCAAACACACACACTCATACACACTCCAGACCCCACTCTTTACAACAACGCTCAATTGTGCTTTATGCTCATGTTGTGTATTTTTGCACATACTTGTCAATATTATAGTATTATTGTAATTTTTGTATACTTGTAAACTTTTTGATCTCCTTACTTTTTATATATTTATATTTTTCCATTTATGTTCATGTGTACTGTAAGCACCAATTTATACCAAGGCAAATTCCTCGTGTGTAGAAATGTACCTGGCAATAAACCTGATTCTGATTCTGATTCAAGGTGGGTAGTTTCATCTATAACAATGGATCTCATTTTATCAGTGCATCATAGCCTTCATTTTGTCGGTAAAATATGTAGTGGTGGACAGTAACTAAGTGCATTTACCCAAGTACTGTAGGCCTACTGTAAGTACAGATTTGAGGTAGGCCTGCTTGTAATTTATTTGAGTCTTTCTACTGCTCCACTACATCTCAGAGTGAAATATTGTACTTTTGTCTGACAGCTGTATTTACTTAACAAATTAAGATTTTTACACACAAAACATGTGAAGAGTTTTTAAATATTATGTTTTGTTATAAATTAAACTCCTCAACAGTTTATACAAGTACATCTGAAATGATTAGTTAATTAGTCAGTCGATTGACAGAACATTAATCAGCAACTATTCTAATTGTTTAAGTATTTTTTCTGGAAAAACATTTGATGCTTTCAGTTTCTTACATGTGAAGATTTGACACTTTTTCTTTAAATGATTGTAATAATTGCAATGTTTTAATGTTGTGGTTTGGACTGTTGGTTGGACACAACAAGCACTGTGAAGGTGACACTTTGGGCTCTTGGTAACTGTGTGTGGCATTTGTACTATTTTCTGAATCTTTACAAACCAAACAATCAATCGATTAGTGGAAAAAAATAATCAGCAGATTGATCCAGAATGAAAAATAATCATTAGCTGCAGTCCGAAATTAGCTCCAGCTCAACAACTACAGCTGTAAATTCCTGCTCTTACATCAATGCATGAGAAATAATATTCTGATGATAATGATAGAAAATACAATAGTACATTAGTCACAGGGGACATTTGACTGCTTTGAGTACCTTAAGTACATTTTCCTGATCATACTCACATACTTTTACTTAAGCAACATTTTCAGTACAGGACTTTCACATGTAACCCAGGATTCTTAGTGTGGTATTACTACATAGTAAAGGATCCGAATACTTCATCCACCACTGAAAATATGTATCTATCTAATGTAATGGGCATTCCAAACATATTGCATGTAACCCTGGACTCAGGGAGACTAACGTGTGATGTGGCACTGAATCTGTGTAAACGTAACAGTCAAATATCTCTGTGTTATCCAGACTTCAGTTCAGGGACAACTTGTCTCTGTGGGATGATATGATTGACCCTAAAGCTGGATAAATAACAGACTCACTCAGCGGTCCTCACTCATTCAGGAATACATGTACACAGTGTATGTGTGTTGCTGTGAGTCCTTCTGCCAGAGACTTGCATAAATTCACAGAAAGACAAGTGTTTGCCAGAGCTGTTTATTTGAAAACTCTAATTGCCATCACAGTAACTAGTAACTAAAGCTGTCATAAATGTAGTGGAGTATTTCTCTCTGAAATGTAGTGAAGTTGAAGTATAAATTAGCATAAAATGGAAATACTCAAGTAGGCTACATCAAAACTGTTCTTAAGTGCAGTAGGCCTACTTGTGTAAACGTACTTTCTACACAGTCTGTGTTTAATACTTGATAGTAATTGACTATCAATAGCTTTGTTACAATAAATAAACAACTAAAAATGGCTGAACATGGAGGGGCAATATGGTGGACCAGGAAAGGCTGAGCTCGCTGTTCCATGGCAAAGGGTGGAAAACAGCAACAAAGCGGCTTCAGTTTGAAAGCCTTTGAATGTGTAGAACTTGTATTAAAAGTGAACAGGTTGTCTGGCGTCTGTGGTGACGCACCTGCATTCCAGTCCAGCAGGTGCAGTTATGAGCGCAGTTGTGATGCTCAGCCCACAGCAGAAGCGAATGTGTTTTGGGATTGTATTTGGGATATTATTTTTAGCACCACATACCAGTTATTTTCTGGTACAGTAAAGAAGTTCACTTCAAGAAAGGTCACTTAACGAGAGCCTCTTTTGCAGCTGTCGTTCCTATTTCTTGGAGTGCAGTAGGGACGTACATGTTCAGGCTCCCAGAGCTTTCCACAGGGCTCGCTGAACATTTTCTGCTTTGCTCCCAGTTCCGTATGAACTGTCATACATGGTAAATGGTCTGTATTTGTATAGTGTCTTCCTAGTCTTTTTGACCACTCTTACACTACACCACATTCACACACCTATCAGCAGAGACCCAACTGCTCATCAGAAACAGAAATGAACTTATTCACACACTTTCACACACTGATGGCACAGCCACCAGGAGCAATTTGGAGTTCCCAACCTTCCGGTTAGTGGACGACCGCTCTACCCTGAGCCAAAGCAGCCCACTTATGCCACTTCAACACTTCCGTAATTAAGGTCTATCTGAGGGTCTATCTGGTTTACATGTGCATGTGTTTTGTCCACTTCATTGAAATTTGCAGCTACTCTGTGAACTAGAGAGCTAGCCTACAAGGAAACACGTGTAGCTGTTGCTAAAGCTCATTCTCTGGGCACTTTTGATAATTAACTTCTGAAGTAACTGTTAGTTAATGTAGTTGTTTTTGCATTATCCTAACTTGTGATATTAAAGTTAATATTACATGATAAAATCGGAAAATGTTGAATATTGTAAAACTTTGTCAGTGTTGAGCTACCAGTAAATATTAGAATACATCCAAATTTTGTCAACTTATTTCTTGTCACATTATTAACACATTTGGGGGGTGGGAAGATGAAAATTAGATATTTTTGAGTGGCACCTGACTGTGGAGCAGTGAAGTCAACACCTATAGGGCTCTGCAGCGGGTGAATAAAACTGCTCAGAAGATCATCGGTACCCATCTCCCAAGCATCAGTGATATCGGTGAGGTGAGGTGCCTGCAGAGCCCAAAGGATACTAAAGGACAGTACCCACCCAGCCACAGCCTGTTCACCCTGCTGCCTTCTGGGAAGAGATATAGAAGTTTCTGCTGCCACACCACCAGACTGCAGAGCAGCTTTTAGAATTGAATCTGTATTAATGTATATTGTCAGCTATGTAGCATAAGGGAGTTACAAAACTCAATTTCCCTCCATAACTTGTTATATTGTGACTATAAACCTATCTACCTTGTTGTGATTGGGCGCTATATAAATAAAATTGAATTGAAAAACTGAACCTACCTACCTCTATCAACACTTCAGGTGGAAGTTGGAGAAATGCCACTGATTCTAAGAAGAAAACTGTTGAGGGCCAATTATTAGGCAACTTTACAAAGTCAAAAGGATTCACATCCTACAAAACGGATATGAATGACTGAAAGCAGCAAAATTAAAAAGAAAGTATTTTGAAATGTAATACCGGATATAACAAAGGAATTAGGGTTACTAGTCCAACCGCTTTAATGCCAGCTGTTCCACCATGGTTACTAGCCTATAATTGATTTTTCTTTATTGAAACACTGGGGATTGATTTTCAGTTTTTATGGGTTCCAACACACATTGGCATCCAAGGGAACAAGACGGCAGACACTTTGCCAAAAATCTTAACATTTTTACAAGACTAAGCACAAGAATTTCAGGTCAGTAGGTGGCGATAATGCTCCATCTGGTTGCAAGTCACCATTAAAGAAGAAAAAGAAGAAGAAGAAGAAGAAGAAGTAGAAGACATTTGCGTAAGTAGCAGGTGTACCTCACAAGGTCAGTGGTACGCGGGTGACCCAAGCAGGGAGGTCTGTTGGGAAAGCAATTTTCTCCCGTTCCGTTCATTAGTCCGGTTCAGCAAGACAGCTGTTGTCGTCTCAGAGATGGCCAGAGGAAGCCGGAGCCGTCCCTCAGCTCCAGCCAGGTAAAGCCGTTTGCAGTAAGTTAACGTTTCACAGCGGGCTCAGTCTCTGTACTGGTACTGTGGAAAACGCACCGCGGTGAAGTCAGTTTTAAGTTGGACATTCGACAGACATTCACCCAGGATCCGGTGACGGCTGCTTACTCAGTTCACGCAGTGTTGGCAGTATAAGTGCATTT